TGGCAGTGAGCAGTGAATTAGCCTGCAATGCTGCATTCTAACCACAGGGAAAGGAAGGGCAGGGCAATAGCAATAACACTTAGACTTATATACTGCCTCACAGTGCTTTACAACACTCTCTGTCAGCATTTTGCCCCCAACCATCTGGGTCCTCATTTTACCCACCTTGGAAGGATGGATGGCTGAATCAAACTTGAGCCCCACCAGGATCAAACTCCAGGCTGCAGGCAGAGTTTGCTTGCAATCTTGCAATCTTGCATTCTAACCACTGTTCCCGAGGGCGCCTAACCTTGCTTTAGACACTCGTATTTATTTGAAAGAATATGCAATATGTATCTTATGCATGATATGTGGCTCTAATTGTAACATAATTATTTTAGATGACACAGAGAAACTGATTCAGAAAGCAAGGAGGGCCCTGGAACCTTCTGCTGAGCAATCAACCAGTCTCCTGAAAAGTGATGGGAGTCCATGTACAGTGGATGTACTAGAAGCAGAAAGATTGTGGGATAATGTTCCAATTGGTTTGTGAGTATACGAGAACCCCATTATTATTTTTTTATGGATACACAGAGTGAGACTCTTTAGCAATAGCCTGAGGGATACCTCAACCTACCTGAATGTGATAAAACGATGGCCTTTGTACAAGAAACCTAAGAAGACCCCTGCTAGACCCTTTTGTCGTAATGTGAAGCCAGATTCTTCATGAATTTGTCCATTCCCCTTTGAAAGTCATCCCTTTCACTAATGCATCTGTAGTTTTAACTGTATGCTCTCTATCTCTCCTGACTCGTCAACCACTTACCTTCGTCAGCTGTCTCCAGATCATTGTATTAAGGACGAAAGACAGAGTTCCAGATTCACTTCTCCTTAGTAGCTTGAGAAGCTATCAAATTGCAAGTGGGATCCACAGAACTCTTTCCTGCTATTATAACCAACGAGTCCCTGTTACCCACTCACTTCACAGTGGCTCACTATCCCCCAAGGGGCAAATAATTTTCCTTGAAGATTTTTGGGCCCTTTTCTCTATGTCAAGAGCCAATCCTGCTTATATGCTCATAAACTGGTTATTCCTTTTGTGCTTAACTACATTCTCCATGGGAGTCTCTGTTGCAGGAGCATGCAATGCTTTTGAGAGGTTAAGGGTGACTTGAGTTATGGCCAGGAACTGTGTCAAACATGTGGGCAGGGCTGTGTTTGAGGAAGGCTGCTGTGTCTTTTCCTTGGAAATGTGATTTTGTTTACTTTAGGAACATATGTTCTGCTCTCCACAGTTGATGCAGAGGGAAATAGCTGTCAATATTCAAGGTCAGAAGACAACAAAAAAGAGAGTCGGGAAATAGAGTTACTTCCCCATTGTTAGCCATTGACCGTGTTAGCCATTGACATTGAATACAGGTAGTCCTTGACTTACAAGCATTTGTTTAGTGACTATTTCAAGTTACAATGGCACTGAAAAAAGTGACATGACCAGTTTTCATATTTACGAGCTTTGCAGCATCCTGATGGTCACATGATCAAAATTCAGACACTTGGCAACCGACTAATGTTTATGACGGTTCGGTATCCCAGGGTCATGTGATCCCCTTTTGCAACCTTCCGAGAAGCAGAGTCAATGAGGAAGCCAGATTCACTTAGCGTATTTTTCGGAGTATAAGACACACCAAGATTTTGAAGAGGCAATTTTTTTAAAAAAAAAAGTGTTTGCACTCTGCAGACCTCCCAAAAACGGCCTATTTTTTGCAAAAATGGGCCCATTTTTTTGTCAAAAAAATGGCCGTCTGTAGCTTTTACGAGGCTTATAGAGTGCTCCTGGGGCTGGAGGGGGGAGCAAAAGGAGCAAAAAACAGCCCATTTTTCGCTTATGTGTGCCCTCTCCAGCCCCCAGAAGCACTCTGGAAGCCCCCTAAAGGCTATGCATGGCCATTTTGGTGATGGGGGCTGGGTTTTGGGAGGCCAAAAATGCTGTATTCAGTGTATAAGACGCACCCAGATTTTCACCCTCTTTCAGGGGAAAAGATGTGTCAATTGTGGGCTCAAATATACACATACACACACACACACACACACACACA